TATCCTGAAAACTTATACATGCATACGGCAAGCAATAAAGGCAGATTTTAGGAAGGTCGCAGGTTTGCTTTTGTCATCAATTTTGACACACAATTTCGACGATTAGAGCGGTTGTTTTGTGCACATTTGATTATGACGTCAGTTACCTTACAAAGGCGACGTTGCGTTGTTTCCCGTATAATTCTCTGAAAATAAATTCATAAATAATCTACAGGTACGAATCAAGTAGATTAATTCAAAGTGCATGTACGTAAACCTCGTACATGTATGAACGAAGATCGGATATTATTAAATGACAGTCTGATTTCTGATGTGATTATGTGTATGTCTCAGAACAAACTAAATACGATACCAATTGAAAGGAATAATTTATATTGTAAGTGTTACATGTACTAAACTGCTAAAAGTCAATCAATATGAGTCAGCGTAAAAGTCAATGTATGCAAAAAGAAAATTATCGTAAATTCTTAGCCAAAAACTTGAAGGGTTGTATGTGAGCGCGTTATTTGCACCTCAAAGGGAAGTGCGTATTACACCATGTTTGCAGGGGCGAAACTTTTTCAGGATGGAATCAATCCTCAACACTAAATCGGATGAAATTCAATTGCAGTACATGTACATGTATTTTTCCTGTTATTTATTATTATTATTTCAATTACCATAATTGTTATTTGTTTATTTTGTATTTGAATCTCATGTAGTCGCTTCGTATATGTAGGCTAACAAATTGTGAAATGCATTTCAAAAAAAAAAAAACAAGAAAACATTGATGTAACCATCAATTGTCGCCCGGGAAATAAATAAAGTAAACAATGGAAATGAGTCTTTATCATCAAACCGCTTCGATATGTGTGAAAAAGGCATGCGTCTAAATGATGGAGACGATAGTCGAGAATATTTTGAAAACATATAGTCGGATGAAAATCGAACAAAAACGATACCCTTTTAAACTTTATCAATTCCTCAAGTAAATGTTGGCTGCATAAAATATAATTTGAAACCAGACATATGCATCACCTATTTTCAAAAATATCTTTCACTTTAAGAATATAAAACACGAACTGTGTAAAGTACATTTTTACGTTTTTATGTGATAAGTAAAATTCGATGTTCTAAAAAAAGGGACCTGTCGTTTTTTCGATAGTAAATGATAAGCAACTTTATATATTAAATATGAAAAACATATATATTTTTACATATTCACTTTATGGAAGTAAATATATTGTGTATCTCGTAATTTATAAAGGGAAAGAACATTCTGATTAACAATCTTTTTAATGTTTAGAAAACCTTTAATTCTGAATAACTTCTCCCACCTCAATCTCCATATACCAACACTTAAACTTATATGTATAGAGCAGCCCGGTCCTCCGGGCTGCAATTAAACACCCGGACTATCAGACCTATATGACACTATAAACAATTTACAAGTATCAAGTACATTTTTTACTATATAAGAAAAGCTCTCTGTTTATAAGCTAAATGCAAGTGTTTTACATTTTGCGTATGGAAATTTGATTGAGAGAATTTGAAATTAAGAAATGTTTGAGAGTCAGGGTTATATACCAGCCTGCGACAAATATAGAAAGAACATTGCCAGTACCCCACCCCCCTTTTCACAGTATTGGAATGTTTTTTTCTTCACCGTTTTCAAATGAAGTGATCAAATTCATGTGTTATTCCTGAAATCTTACTGAGCATGAACATCCCTAAAAATACATAAATAAATATTTTATCACTTGCCGTGTTGTCGCTGCATTTTAATTCTAATACACGAGAAATGTTTAATACACAGTTCATTCTGACTTTGTTGGCAGAATATGAATTTCACAATACTAGTGTAAATGAGTTGCTGGTCATCCTAACATGTTTCCGCAATAAGTGAAATGATGAATAAAATGACATTTTGCAACTATGTCACCTTTTAGATCTTGCGAATTCCAAATGTAAAGATATTTATACTTGTATGTAAACGTGATTACGTTCAATATATGACGTTGTAGTCATAAATAACGCCATATACGCAACATATTGGAAATATAAAAGCAAACTATGAAATTATTTAGCAAAAAACAAGCGAGAAGACATACTGATTTTTTTTATCTCAATAGTTTCAATTTTACCTCATCTGGATATTTTGTAATTCCTGACTAATTCGTCTACTTGTTTAAAAAGTTATCCAACCTTTTTTCAAAGAAACTCTTTCTTCAAAATTGGCTTACAAACTTCAATTTTTCTATATATTTCAAGAGTAATGCAAAAAATAGTATTAAAAACTATACTGCGTTTACAATAATACGGCATTAAAACTACGTAGACAAATTTAATAAAAATTACAGATAAAATGCTAAAAATTCGAAGGAACATTATATCAAATTTTCAGGATATGTTTTTTCGTAAGAATTTTTAAGCAGTAAACCCGCGATCTACCTTAAAAAGGTATAACTTAAGAAATTGATTCATTCATAAAGAAGTAATTCCATGCAATATCAAAGCCTTCGTGTTGACAAGTAAGAATCTAAGTCTTTGTATGATATGCTAAATAAATTAGTAGTATCCTTGGCATCGGAAAAGGGCAAATTTCTTCACCTTGACAGATATGCACTGGAAAGCATTCTATTCTATATTTTAACTACCCTAAAACAGTAAATTACAATAGCTTCAATATAGAATCGATCATTGTATATTGACTACATATACTCTTATGTTTAAAATAGATAAACTAGGCTCTAACCTGTGTACATTTTATGAAGTAGAGGAAGAAACATTTATATATATATATATATATATATATATATATATATATATATATATATATATATATATATATATATATATATATATATATATATATATATATTCACATCCCTTTTACATTATTGTACATTGAAATTAATACTGTATGATGTGTTTTTTAAAGAATAGATAGAGAGATATAGGAGAGAGAAAAAAGATAGAGAGAGTCAAGAAAAAAGTTGAATCCATCTGTTCCACTGGGCATCAAACTTTTCCTTTCCATCTTTTTTATAAGAAATAAATTTGTGTGTTTCATAATAAAGATTCATTTGTGATATTGCAGCACATATATCAATATGTCATAAACAATATATCATTTAGTTATGTAATATCCAGCTGTACAGCAATTCCTAGGTGGTTTTATGAGGTTCTGTCATTCAGAAGACATTTTACTAAATACAGATTGTAAAACTGCCATATTTGAAGATATATGTAATAAAACGTCATCAAAGTCTTTAAATATTTTGCTTATGTCTATTAAGTAATACATTTACAGAGTTCGTTGTCAAATTCTTAGTCACTCTATCCTTGGTTTTCTAAATGACTTCAAAATTCTTTGTCATTGAAATACACCGCCAAGGAATGCAATAAAATGAATGAGTTCAACATCTCCTGGCAAAAATAGTTCTCCAAACTTCAAACTAACATTAATGAACACTGTTTTTAAATAGCTTTGCTCCCTCCTCTTTTTGTCTGCCACCAACTTTCTTTATTTTTTTTTCACTCATCCTCTCTCTTTCTTTCTCTGTAGAAATTTAAGTTGAAATGAGGATATCAGACTAGATAGTACAATGGATAGAGCACCTGACTAGTAATGCAGGGGTCCTCAGTTCATCTCGGTCCAGCAATATGTTTTTCATTATATATGTATTTATGAATTTTAACTCATTCCCCCTTTCCATACTACATCTTTTTTCTTCTCTCCCTCTCTTTCTCTCACACAACACAAACAAATAAATAATATGACAACAAGATCATGTTCATGTTTGTTTGGTAACACTTTGAACTTCAAATAAAAAGTTTTTAAAAAAATATTAATTACATATGTAATTGTCTTTTACTTGTCAAATTTCATAATATATTCTTTTTAATGAAGTTGTACCTCATGATCATGTACCACTGACGGTTAGAATGAGTGTAATAAATACATTCAAACGTACCAAAGAATGATCCTTAATTATACCCGCAATCAATTTTGGACAAATTAAATCAGGTACTTGTGTGTAATGAGGTTAAAATACCAGCAGCATCTAAATGTATGAAAATCGGATTTCAGAAAATTTTTATCATCTCAACAAAAAGAGACAAAATTAATGTTTTACTTTTGCAAGTGATAAACAAGTATGTAATCTGCTTTGAAACTGATGTGAGTAAGGCAGTGTTGTATTAATTATGTTCTGTCTTCTTTATGACTCTTTTTTGTTTCTTTCCTGAATCTTCTTTTCAATAGTTTTTCTTGTCCCTTTTTTGCTTCTCACAAACTAGAAATTTTTATACATTTTGTTAGTTACGCATTTGAACGGTTATGTTAAATCATCTTTTTAAAAAAGTATAGTCTGAAACTTTTCGCCGCATAAAGGTGATTTTCTTCTACAAAATTAGTTGTCCTTATGCATGTTATGCCCTTTCTAAGTGTATTTCAAACGTATTTGCTAAAATAAGCGTTAGCAATTTTTAAAACTTATATTTACATGTTTACACATGTACATGTATATATATATGTATTTCATAAATAGAAATGACAGTTAGTTTATTGAATAGCTAGTCATGCAGTGTAACTTTGGTTTTCCTTTTTATATTTCTAAATAATTCTGAAATGCAAAATTTCCTTTATGAAAATATATACATGTATTTCATTATTCTTCTATTTGGTGAAATAATATCATTATAAAGATGATATGTTATATTCTTACTGGTATATCTCACAAAAACACAAAAAAAAATCTAATTTGCACTTATTTTTCGATATGCTTTTCTGCGATGTCGATATGTCTATGGATCGACCTAATAAAAGAGCTATATTTGATTAATTAAAGGGAATATATTATCTTTATCATTGCAAAGTGCTGGGTTGTTAGAATTATTATAATTAGATAAATAATAGCAAAAAAATATAATACATTTTTGTTCAAACTTGCTACCATATGCATCTTTCCTCAAACCGAAACTTACTAGATTCTGTCCTGTCAAGTGTGAAGATCAAAATGGCGGAAGGCATTCCTAAAGTTAATCCCGCTGTTTACAGTTGCCCCATTTGTTTGGAAAATATTATAAGACCTAAGCGTCTGCCATGTTCTCATACTTTTTGTGAAAAATGTCTGCAGACTCTTATATCTAGGGCCTCCGTGGGGAAAGAGCAAGAAAAGTTTGACTTTGAATGTCCTTTATGTCGTCGTGTCACGGGTCGACCAGAACCAGGGATTGTTGTGGATGAATGGGCTAATCATTTTCCGACTAACATACTAGTCGATTCGTTTGTTCGTTTTATTGTCGAAAAGAGTAAGGATAAATGGTGTGCCATTTGTTTTCGAGATGACAAGGAAAGTAAGGCGGAGTCCTGGTGCAATGACTGTGCAGAGGTTATATGTGCTTCCTGTAAACATCTTCATCAAATTATTGGTTCACTTCAAAATCACAAAATCTCGGCACTTAGTTTTGAAGATAAAGATGACAAGTTTACTTTTCCGGAATTAGATGAACCCTGCCATTTGCATCAAGGTAAATATGTTGAAGTAGTTTGTTTAGATCACAAAAAGATTTGCTGCTGCTTGTGTGTTGCAACACAGCATAGACAATGTGAACATGTGGAATCTTTAAATGATGTTGCTAAAAAGATACCTAATCTAGCCGTCGAATCGAACTTAGATGTTCTCTCTAGAATATCAACTACAACAAAGGAAGTTTTGAAACATAAAGAAAAAGCAATTATTCTCCTGAATGCTCAGAAGGAAGATATCCTAAAAAATGTTTCCGAAGAAGTTTCAAATATAAAAGCTAAACTAGACGAGCTTGGGCAACAATTTCGGAAGAACTTCCTAAAAAAGCATGAAGATATTGAAGAAGAAATGAAGCAATGTGTCCTGGATATAAAGCATTACCTCTTGATAGTCAGTAATGGAAAAACACTTCTTTCTGCGGTTAAAGAAAGAGGTACTTGTACGCAAATATTCCTCTCTACAATGAAAATCATAAGAGATATGGAAGACCAGTTTCAACTATTCAAGTTCAGAAATCCTGAAGATAAAGAGTACGATTATAAACATGATCATACGACATTATTAAAACAATTTTGCGAAAATGATACAATTAATGATGTCAAAATCATAGGAAAACCGACAGGAACTCTCTGGAATTTACCATTTCATATGCCATCATTTCAGATATTTGAAAAAATGGAAAAAATACAGCCGTCGAAGATTTTTGAGAAAATGTCAAATTCTGAAACACTGAGTACAGAGAAAAAAGGCGAGTTTCAGCTATCGTGTAGTGCAGAGCAGGGTGTGTTTGTTGATAAAGAAACATTGGCCTTTGTTTCATCACAGAACACTCTTTAATTTCATAATGTTGATGGGTCTTTAAATTCATGTATTACTTCTATGGAATTCAAAGGAAACCTTTCTCTTTGGGCAGGGTCAACAAAACATATCTTATACATTGGATGCCTCTCTACAATTCAAAAATTAAAGATTAAGAAAACATGTGATACTATAACACTTATTTCTGTTGGAGAAGTCGACTTAAAGCAAGCATTTGATGTTTTTAGTGTTGATGAAGAACGGAATAGAATCACCATTGCATCACAAAGCAGTGTAGTGATCTTTGCCCTTTCCCCCGCTTTGTCAATCATTAATACTATCGCCAGACCGGAAAGCAACCCATTAATAGCAATGTCTAAAACACACGAACGGTTTGCTGCTGTTTGTGGTAAAGAGGTGATCTGTTATTCAATGACTGGGGGAAAACTTTTTCAATATAAACATACCAATATAAAGAAACCCAAGTTCCTTGCATTTGACTGTATGAATAATATTTATGTCTTGTCTTCATTGCCTCCAACTACGATATGCAATAATTTGACAGTATATTGCAAATATTGCCAATGTCGAACTAGTGTTTTAGGAAGTTCACTAAATACTTTATCGGAAGAAAGTGTTGTCTGTAGGAGTTGTAACACACGTTTACCTTTAGATAACCCTTGTTAAAATAGGGGATGCGGAAGTCTGATAAAAACTCACTTGCAAAGCGGCGAAGTTTACTTAATTTCCCGATATGGAAATAAAAGCCATTGTATTATTTCCAAGTATCCAGGTGGTCTTTTTATGTCGTTTAATCACAGTTACGACGAATTTCTGATTTCGGATGGAACGAAGTGTACAATCTATAAGTTGAGGGACACCCTTTAACCTTATTATACTCAAATAACACAAATTTAATGTATAATGTGTTTTGATTTTCACATTCTCTAATGATGTCAAGTATGAGATATAAATACAGTTTTTAATAATGTCGGAGTCTGAAACATTGTCTTGCAGAGTAACAGGCTAAGGAAATAAAGCTGCTCTTTGAAAGCTTTTTTAAATTTCATCCTTTGCTTTGCATTGACGCTAGAATGTTTTGAGGAATGGGACATTCAATATTTAATGTTGTAAGTAATGCAAATAAGTGAAATCACCAATTCCAATAGGTGATATCACTGATTCCAATAGGTGATATCACTATTCGGTTGAATTGGTGAGATCACCTTTTCGAATTGATATCAAGTATTCGAATCAGTGATATCACCTTTTCGAATAGGTGATATCACCTATTCAATTTGAATGAGTAATATCACCTATTCAAATAAGTGATATCACTGAATGGCAATAAATACTATAACAGTGCCTCATACGCTAAACAAACAAACAAATAACTAGCGTTTAAATTCGCATATGCTTTGTCATTTTCCTCTTTGAAGCTCTATCGGACAGTTGCATTAATAATTCCTTGAACTCAACTGCTCTCACTATAAACGCAGTTTATATCAGAATTCTACTGTAACCTTTGTTTTGTCAATTGCAAGTTTCGCAGTTTTGAAAAATGTATGTCTCAATCTATAAAGGCTGTTAAGAAGTACATAAAGAAACCATTGCTGAAATACACAAAAATTCTAATAATTTCAAACTTTTTACAGGCTAATTCGGAGAATTTGTGTCCCTCTCTTGGGGGGGGGGGATGTCCGGTCACATACCCCCCGGATTTGCAGAATTATAAAATGCATACATGTATACTGAAGAAAATTTTAAAAAATGCCAATATGGATATATAGATTTGATTGCTTATTCTTTCACATCTTTTAATATAAATATTTATCACACTGTCATAATGATTTAATGAGAAAGTTTGTACACGCCACACGTCATAACTTTTTCATTAATTTCATATGTTGAATACTATCATTTCGTAAATCGAAAAATTAAAAAAAAAAAAACACCGGGATCGTCCGGGATTGGACTTCTCATATGCTAAGCAAGAATCATACCTCTAGACCAACGAGGCGCTTGCAATTGCCTTTCAAGCAAAGAAGCTTTTGAACTTTTGCAATGAAATTTTATACCATAACTCCCTATGGTCTCTCTCGCCCTTTCAAAGTGTCCAGCTCAAATTTTTTTATTGTGTGAAATGTCCTGTGGCACTATTTTTAGCACAGGAGCATGTGGAGAGTTATTTCATATAATACAGGTTGTCGGCGGATTTTATATATTCTAATTACATCTATTAAAACTGCTCAGTAAAGGCTAAATTAGATACCATGTGTGGTGTAAAATTTTGACAATATCAAACGTGAATATAAACATGCATATGTGACCTGTTGCTTGCATTTAATTCGCTTGAAAGGCAAGCGTTTCGTTGGTCTAGTGGTATGATGTTTGCTTAGCATATGACAGGTCCCGGGTTCAAATCCCGGACGATCCCGTATTTTTGTCTCCCGCATTCACTGAAAGTCGGGGGATATTAATTAATTAATTTCCGGACAGACGGACGGACGGACAGACAGACCGAAATTAACATCCCCCACATTCAGTGAAAGTATGGGACCACAATTAACTACAACGAATGGACAAAATTGTATAATAACATATCTCCAAACAAAACATGGGTGCTTACATCTTTAATCAATATTTACATTTATATATAGAAAGTAGTGTGACTGATCTATTATAGCTCGAGCTCTGTATTCATTACTGCTTACGTTTTACCGATGTGTTTAATTTGATACATTTGTACTCATCACTGAACACGAACTGACAACACTGATGTTTTGATCTTGCTTTCTGGAATTTCTACTCTGCATTTTCTAGATTCTATTTTACTTTTTTTCATAAATACAGTACAATTTTTCTATTTTCCTTAAAATTCAAGGATAAATTTTACTTCGTCAAAGTAAAGGATGTATTTTTAAACGCGTCCCGAGATTCGTAATTTTTTTAAATATCAGGCAAAACAAGATTCCAAACATTTTCTTAAATAATGCAATTCTTATATTTAGCTTTTTCTTCAATGCATGGAATGTGTGTTTGTTCACTTTGAATATTTATACACTATAACAAAACATTTCATATCTTGATAAAAGTAACAGTTATCTTGATTAATTAATAATTCCATTGCAATTGTAATGATATTAAATCGTAAATACAATTGAAGCATTTACTTGTCATAGAACTTTAGGACATGTCTAGTCTTGCAAGATGTCACTAAAAATAACGTTTTATTATTTCCAAAATATTCAATAACAATTGCAATTAGAAAGAATTTTTTAGTCAAATACTATTCTGATCAAAAATAAATACAAATAAAGGTCTAGTTTATTAAAATCGAGAAATCAAAATTAATAAAACCTGTATTCGTTGTTATTTGTCCATTTAGGAGTGTCAGGAAAGGGTATTATTCTATAGAAGTATTGTTAAAAGGACCTTGAACATCGGATTTCAAGCAATAGTATTTGGATGGCAAACCTAGAAAAGGTTTGTAAAAAATAGTTTTGCAAGAAAATGGGCCTTAGAAAGACGCTCAAATTTTTTTAACATGAGTTTTCTGTAATATTTGTATCTTGACTGCATATATGTGTTAATATTACATGTAACAGTACAATTGTAAGTCATATTGTACAATACTACTGATATTAAGGAGCAAACTTTAATTAAGTTAATTAATAAGAGTTAATTAGTGGAGTCTTATTTTAAAACCCCAGAGTTCTTTATGAATTTAAACTCCATTCGGCGTATTCTGATGGTGTATTCTTCACTGACAATCAAACAAGTGTTTACCATTGCTGGTACAAAGAATATGCAGGTTTTCTTTCGTAAGTAAATAAAAGGTAGAGTAGCAAATAATTCAAAAACAACTACATTGAAGATTCCTTTTTATTTTCGCTACTATACTCAGTGATAGACGTCCGCCAGTCACACTACAGTCCACTGAATCCATTCCTGAGCATTTTTACGTGTATAAATGAATTCCAATCGTCATTTTTTATGCTTTTGTTTAATTAAAAGTTTGCTCCCTAAAAGTTAAATGTCTGTCACGACAATTAAAACAACACTTTGGAAAAAAAAGAATTGTATACATTGAAGAGAAATCCTTTGGCTTTCTTGAAGTGTGCGTTTTCTTAGTTTCTTCTCTAGGAAAAAAAATAGATTTTTTCATAGCCAATCATATACTGAATACAGCATTGTTGTATACACACAACAATGACAGAAATTGCTTCATGTAGTATATGATTTACTCTGCTCATTACTGCATGGTATTACATGGTACATGTCACAGTAGAATCGCAATACTTAAAGAAAACTAAAAAAAAAAATATGTTATCATTTAGCATGTTGAAGTAATTTTTAACTCCCCTCAATGAAGTCGGCGACGGTGTCGGCGTCTAAAGTTAAAGTTTTTGAAGTACTTCGATGTCCTACATTTCCCGGGACATGCATGGAAGATGCTTCTACTGTGTTTCATTGTACCAGTCAAGGTTTCAGATGCTGCAATGTCAACTAAGGAATGACCAGGTTATTGTTTTAGAACAGGTTAAGGGTTTTGGAGCAGGTTAAAGTTTTTGGAGTAGGTCGTTTCGTATTAACTATAAGACCTATGTTGACCAAACTTGTATGGATGATACATCTACGGATGTACAGTACCAGGCTTGCTTCGGATGCTGGATCTGACCTACATTTTCCGGATGAGTGACCAAGTTTTTGGAGCAGGTTCATTCTAATGTAACTATAAGCCCTTTGTTGACCAGATTAGCATGGGTGATACATCTAAGGATGCACACTAAAAGGCTTGCTTCAGATGCTGGATCTGACGTATATTTTATTGATGAGTGACCAGGTTAAAGTTTTTGGCGCAGGTTCATTCTAGAGTAACTATTTGCCGTACCTTGAGCAAACCTGCATGGATCATACATCTAAGGATGCACATTAAGGATTTCTTCGGTTGCTGAATTTGACCTACATTTTCGAGATGATTGACAAAGTTAAAGTTTTTGGCGCAGGCCCATTACCGAGAAACTAAAAGGCCTATC